CGTTTAGATTGAATGGTAATTTATAATCAGTCACAAGAACGTCGAATCTGAATCACTTGAAAAAAACACGGGGGTGCTTAACTTTTTTCCAGGTGTATATTAATACATCATAATATCTTGTAGTGTGTTGAAAGTTCTACGCCTCAGTTGCTACTTATATTTACGCATCCAAATTGTAGTTCAAGACAGACAAAGTTAGTGAGAGTTATAGCCAAACAGGTCTAAAACAAATTAATTCTTATTGGAAACTTATCTGGGTGAAGAGATGTATTTGTATATTTACTTGGTGAACAAGATGAAACAGAAGAACAAACCATAAAATTGTTGACAATAGTCAATTCAACTTTGTCAATCAAGGTAGATATCAACCAGCAAGCATGTATATTGCAAAAGCATTTGAAATTTGTGTAATTCTCTAGATAGAATAAATGTTGATAGCAATTGTATTCGTGTTTGATGTGTTTTGTTTTAGGCGATCACAGAACTAGTGTTATTTCCAAAATTTTGAAAAAAAAAATATATATATATATATATATATACCTACCTATCTATCCACATTTTAAATCAGTTTAGGGTTAGAGCAAACAAAACTACTTTTAAGCCTGTCCTAATTTATTATTTATAAAGCTGACTAAACACCAATATATATAATGTTTTAATACCATTTCTTTACTATTTTCTAGCTTAGTATTATTGAAATAGCTTAGAACTCTATCATTCAGTTACCTTTTAAGTAGATATTCAATATCACTTTCAAAGAGACTTTACATAACACCAGTATTGAAAGGCTTAAGCTGAACCAAGACAAAAGGTTAATAAGTAACACTGTCAATTTAAATCATGTTGTATGCAAGACGATTCTTTGTGTAGTAAGTAAAGGATATATATACAGAGGGTTAATGGAAAGAGAAATAAAGTTACAAATGAAAATGGTACAAGAGCATTTCACAGGGTTAGGGCATTGCACCCTTTGTTTACTTTTGTATAAATCTTCTAATATTTTAAAAACCTTGGTCTGTAACATGAAGTTAAAACTGTTTTGAAAAGGCTCACAATTCTTTGTCTTTGATGTAAACTTAACGTTTCTCTAATGATCAAAAAACTAGATAAACTATTACAGTGTTTAGGCTAATCAGAAAAATATACTTGTATATCTAAATAACTAGATAGCAGTTAAGAGGGTTTTTCAATTCACAATCACATTACAGTAATCATTCCCATTTAAATGTTGGTGTACACATTATTTTACATTTTGGGAAAAACAGTTATGCATATTTATTCAGAATTTTTAAACCTGAATATGACTCACTTGTCTGTAAAATTGTTGTCTCTCTTGATTCTTCCTCTGCCTCTACAACTGTAGGGATTAATTCACTGGCTTCACTGTCTACACTAATCTGAGATTCTCTAAACAGACTAGCCCTTGAAGATACCTAAAGAATTTTAAAAATACCAAATATTTATAACTTAATGTATGCAGTTACTTCCAAGATATACAAGAACTTTTAGACAAATGCTCATGCTCACACCAAAAACTAAAAACAATTCATACACAAATCAGTTGTACATGCAACCAAGTTTTAAATAGGTGAAGAAAGTGCATGCAGAAAAGTCAAAAAATTGTTAAAAAGGAGTCTATATCTGAATATATTTATACTTCACCATTTGTTTCCTACGACATGCAGACTGCTTGTATCCATCTCAAACCGTTAGACCAATAATCTACATCACATAGTAGCACCTTTTGTTTTTACTATTATCATCTATTTTTGATATTCATAAATGCAAATTCAGTTTTCACATCACAAGATCAGAAATCTACACTTCTGTACTTTCATAAGAGTTTGTTTGTAATTTATATATACATCATTAAAACTATTGCATGGTTGAATCTATTATCTTGAGCACATCATAACAGAGGGGAAAAATTGTCTTGGAAGACCTAGTAAATAAAACTCATGTTAATAATATCATTAAAAAAGTAGATGAAAGGTGCTTAGATTATAGATTGTCTGGTTTTCAGTATTTATTTGATTAAAAATTAAATTATTTAATGTTTCCCAATGTTGTCGGAAAGCATGGACATCTAGCTGGGAATTCTCAGTGGTTCTGCTTTTAAGAATGTATTCAAATAAAGGCCTCAAATTTAGTTTAAATTGAACTTGTCAACCGTGTGATCTTGTAATATGAACACCAAGTGCTAAAATGAATAACAAGTGTTTATAACAAACACCTTTTACAGTTTCAACATACAGAAATATATATATGTCAATTAAAGAATTCCTACAACTTATTTTCTTAACACTGTTACCAAACCATGTAAATATTGTACTTATAAAATTATTTCTCAATACCTTGTCCAAAATTTTAAAAGAAAGATATAATTTTGTTAGTCTGGAAAACAAGTGCTTAATACAGCCTTCACATAAAGAAAAGCAACTTCTCATGCTACAACACTTAAACCACTTTAAACAGAAAAAAAAATTCATTTCCCACATCTAGTACCATACACACCTGCAGGTACTTTCTGCCCTGATGGCTTACTCTGCCACTACACCCAGACTTAACAGGGGAACCTTGTAGGAGTTTCTTACATGCCACCTTCTTCAGCCTGAGCTGACAAGTTCAGCATGAAACAGATTCAACAGAGGTGAAGTGAAATTAGTGCTACTAAGTGTTAGAAACAGCTGAAGAAAGATAGTCACTGTTAACCATGTTTAGTCTGAAGCTGGTTAGTTTAAGATAGGAAGTTCCAGGAAGATTAAATGGTTAATTAAAAATGAGTTATTGGAGTGAAATACCTTAGAAAATATCAAACAATTTAAAAAGTAACAAATATTTTGAGTAAGATGAAAGCAAGATGAAGTTTTACATTGTTTATTTCATATATAAAAGTTCCAGATCTGCTTACCTCATCCAATGAAATGTTACACCTTTATTCACACACAGCATACTAACTTCATGGTATATGTTTTCATTATTTAATCAACATTATTTCATTCTAAATTCAATGGTATTATATTTCTCTTCAACATGTAAAATTTATAGCTAAAAATAATGATTTGTTTAGAAAATTTAATTATTAAGAACATGAAATATCATATACTAAAACAATTTTAAACAAAATTATTTCCTTGTTAAAAAGATTTGATTAAAATTCTATATCAATAATTAACTAAGCATCAAATTAATATAAATCCATCAATATAATTTACCTTCTCTTGATCAATCATTTTGAAATTCAATATGGTTGGCATTACCTAAGAATTACCACTTTTCTCACTTTAGAGCTTACTATGACTAAATTACGACCTACACGTACCTAAGAAAGTAGGTATTTGGAGGATTATAGATTAATGTTTTTAAACTGTGTTGAACCAAGTACGAAAACAGAATTATATGAACATTTTCACACCTCACTTAAAGCTAGCTTAATGAGAAATACATAAAAATTCTTGTCATTAAAGAGATTATAGTTTTTTACATAAAAGTTTTAACAAAGTTTAGGTTTCTTGACACTAACTGAAAATATTACCAAATTTAACTTTTAGACCAATAATATTGAAATAGAGATCCATGTTCCCAGAAATTTGGTGTAAAAGGTGAGACTTGTTTATAAGAATTTTAAAGAAATGTTTTTTTTCTGGTTACATGTAACTAAAAATTTTGTCAGTTAGGTGGGAAATTTGTTTCTGGATTTGTCCGTTTCTTTCTAATTAAGTACGAAATTACAGAATAAGCTATCTGTGCGTGCCCAACACGAACATCAAAACCTGTTTTTTTAGCATTATAAGCCTTCAAACTGTGCCACCGAGGGTTTGTTTTTGGACAAAGCTGACTTAAAAGTACAATTTTTTAACACTTCCACTTACTATGTATTTAAGCATTATCATCTTTTTTTTCAAATGTCATCAACCATTCAGTTTTTAGTTTAGACACATTGTTGGTAAGTAGCATTTGTGGAAACATGTGATGTGAAGTTTTATGGACAATATGCACTAGGCATGGTAAGTTTAATTTTCTTAATATTTCATTATACATTTATTATTTGCATTAGGTATGATTAGTTTACTTATATCATTGTTTTCATACCTCCTAGAAAACTGATCACGGTACTGGTAACAATTTAACATAACATTTAATTTCCCAATGAACTGATGAAAATTTTTATTGAATAGTTCATTCAAATCTTAAATATCAAGAAATATTTTACTTTTAGTATCATTCTTAACAAGCATAGTTAGATAATATTATATACAAATCAAATGAAGTCTTGTAAAGTATAAGCTCGTGTGAGATTTAGTCTGTGTTTGTTTGTAATTAAGCACAAAGCTATACAATGGGCTATCGAAACCCGGATTCTAGCTTCGTAAGTCCGCAGACATACCGCTGTGCCACTGAGGGGCTTTAGTCTGTGTATCAGTCCCTGGTTCACCTCAAGATACATTAGAATTATATGCTGCTTGGTACACATCTACAAAGTGTTACAAATGACACTGATGAATTCCTGGAATCTTTGAGGAGTTAGAACAATAGCCAAAAAAAAGTATAATGTCTCACTTCTCTGATTGTGGAGATCAACCAACGAAGGTCGTGATTCTACGACTGTGGAGATCGACCAATGAAGGTCGTGATTCTACGACTGTGGAGATCGACCAATGAAGGTCGTGATTCTACGACTGTGGAGATCGACCAATGAAGGTCGTGATTCTACAATTGTACAGATCAACTAATGAAGGTCATGATTTACTACTGTTATAATTTCAAGTGAACCTCAAGGATTCAATAAGCACTTTAAATGTTTATGTTCATGTAAACATTTTATTTTAAAAAACACTGAGGCTTATAATAATATGAGACATCACATAGCTTCTGTAGATACTTCAGCCATTGTATTACACACCATAGAGAAGCATCCTGTTAACATTTTTGTTTGGTTACAGAGCTATCAAAGAGAAAATCAGACCCCTCTTGCCACATCCTCTCTTTCACAATTTGTTGATAGTTCTGTCTTATGTTTCATTACATATTACTTATAAACAATAGTAGGTCAAGGTTTTCATCTATCAAATGGCATATTGTATAACATTGTGTTCTGAACAGATAACCGTGAATTTCATTCTGAGTAGCAGCATCGTTCCTGTGGGAAAGTTAACGACTAGCTTGGATGAACTTGTAACGGCTCTTGTTGCATAGTTAGAAAGCCACAGGAAAATTTTTAGAAGTGAATTTGTCTATTTTTTGCATGTTATTAATAAAAATCTCTGAATGAACAATAAGTACAGTACAATTTAAAAGCAGTTTTAAAACAAAAATTTATATTCCTGAGTAAACGTTTAGCTTCACTTTACTACTTATTATTAACCCAAATGTTAATCTAAGAAACAAATAAGATCCTGTTCAAGTATGATAAGACTTGTTAATGCACTAAAAATTAGTTAAAACCCCTATACATGTAAAAAAAACAAGAAATACATATATGGTACTTTTAGATATATTTCATTTAACAGACTCACATCATTTAAGTCATCAGACTCTTCTGTAACTTCTTCAAAAACTTCAGCCTTGTATTCACTGATGAGTTCTATCACAGGTTTTTTGTCGAGTGCAGTTGCTAGAAACGAGTGCTGAGAAGAAAACCAGTTATAAAAATAAATCAAATAATCTTTATACACACATGTCTACTCAATGTTCTCTGGCAGCATCTCAAACTGAGGGTTGGACATTTATTTCAGTTAAACATTGTTAGATTTAACTTGATCTGGTAGACCACCACTTCGCAAAAATGTTGTACATTGTTAACTCAAAAAACAAAGCATGCTTTAGCAAAAAAATAGGATAATAATTACAACAGCAGTGAAGAAATTATGCATTAAAATTTTCCTAAATTAAAATACCAACTAATTGTGAAAAATTCTAACTACTCGAGAAATGTTTTTCCACAAACGTAAACTTTCACCTAATTTTTAGACCATAAACTTAAAACAACCATCACAAGCTTTATTTTCTCTTGTTTTCAGATTACATGCTTAAAGTAGACTCACCTGGCTACCATAAACTTAAAACAACCATCACAAGCTTTATTTGCTCTTGTTTTCGAAATACATGGTTAAAGTAGACTCATCTGGCTACCATAAACTTAAAACAACTATCCACTAGTTACTCCAATGGTCAGTAATGTTTGTCTTTGAAGTACCTTCTTGGACACTACACTTTGGTTGAAAATTAAAGCACAGCATAAATACAGATATTTTTTATGCATCCAACACTGAAGTCAAAGATACAAGAGCAAAGGAATAAGAGCTAATGACAATTTCTCACACATATAATATATGCTTGGCATAGTATATATCAAATGTTGTTCCACAAAAACAGTAAAATGTTTACTTACCTTAAGTAGGTCCTCAGCATTTGGTCTCTGTTGAGGATCTTTCACTAAGCATGTTGCCAAGAAGTCACTAAATTCTTTAGACCTGTTTATTAAACAACATATTATTCCTACTTTTTGAAAAATCGCTACAACATGATCGCGACTGTAAAATATTCTCATGAAAATATACCAAGATAAAATAACATTACAGAACTTATAAAAACGTTAAGATTACAAAATGATAGCAATATGGGCAGTCAAGTGATAGTTTTTCCATATGTCACTACAATATGCTTTCCACATATAAGGTGTGTATAGAAAAACGTCATCAAGAACACGTATATTTGTAGTCAAATATAGTGAGGTTCTGATCGTATATCAGTATGAAATTTAGCTCTCTCACACTACAAACTTTTAGATATAATGTCTGTTTCAGGCTGCAGTAAACCTTTATATCTAAAATTTCAAAGTTTTTATGTTTCTTAAGTCTGCTTAAAAAAACAGAAAGCAAAAAATAATATGAAATTTTCTACACACACACACAAACTCACTTGTATTCAAACTTTAAAGCTTTTACCTTTTAAACTGTGTCCAAGATTCAAAAGTATATCAAAGCCTTATCTTCTCATAAAATTATATTATACTATAACAGTTGCTTTCCACAAATAGTTGACACATTAAAAGTTCTTTAAGACCAAAGAATGATAAAAAATTTATTAGTAAAAATGAATAAATCTTAATTCTCCCATAACTATGTTTAAAAAGCAGAGCAATATGAATGCACAGAAACAAGATTAAGATATTTGTATGCTAATCACAAAGTACCAGTAATATCAAACACTGTGTGCTAACAGAATAAAATTACCTCTCAGTAACTACTAATTTATCTATTCTAGTTTTGGAATACAAGTTTCAATAAATATTAAAAAGGAAAAATTGTTTATTAAAGCTGGTAGAACTTTCAAAAATTTAATAATCAAAAACTTATGTTACTTTTTCATTTACAAAAAATACATTCTTTAACAAAATAAAAGATCCAACAGTAAATAACAATAACTAGAAATTATAAGGTTGATACTGAAAAGAAATTTTGTACAACCTATAAACATTTATAATACGTGAATGTTGAGACTCAGTATTCTATAAACGATTATAATACGGGACTGTTGAGACTCAGTATTCTATAAACATTTATAATACGGGACTGTTGAGACTCAGTATTCTATAAGCATTTATAATACGGGACTGTTGAGACTCAGTATTCTATAAACATTTATAATACGGGACTGTTGAGACTCAGTATTCTATAAGCATTTATAATACGGGACTATTTAGACTCAGTATTCTATAAACATTTATAATACGGCACTGTTGAGACTCAGTATTCTATAAACATTTATTACATGGTACTGTTGAGACTCAGTATTCTATAAACATTTATAATAAGGGACTGTTGAGACTCAGTATTCTATAGACATTTATAATACGGGACTATTTAGACTCAGTATTCTATAGACATTTATAATATGGGACTGTTGAGACTCAGTATTCTATAGACATTTATAATATGGGACCGTTGAGACTCAGTATTCTATAAACATTTATAATATGGGACTGTTGAGACTCAGTATTCTATAAACATTTATAATATGGGAATGTTGAGACTCAATATTCTATAGACATTTATAATACGGGAATGTTGAGACTCAGTATTCTATAGACATTTATAATACGGGACTATTGAGACTCAGTATT